TCCACATCCCCGCCCACAAAAACCTCGACTTTGACTCTCTCCATGAGCTCCCTGACTCCTATGCCTGGATTCAACCTGACTCCTTCCCGACCCATAAACATCATAATTCCATTCTCGACTCTGACGCTGATTCCGTTCCATTAATCGACCTTTCTCTGCCCAACGCGGCGACCCTCATCGGTAACGCGTTCCGCTCGTGGGGGGCATTCCAGGTCATTAACCACGGCGTCCCCATTTCCCTCCTCCAATCCATTGAATCCTCCGCTGACACGCTCTTCTCTCTACCGCCTTCCCACAAGCTGAAGGCCGCACGTACCCCCGACGGCATCTCCGGCTACGGCCTCGTCCGTATCTCCTCCTTCTTCCCTAAACGTATGTGGTCCGAAGGCTTCACCATTGTCGGCTCTCCCCTCGACCACTTTCGCCAACTCTGGCCTCACGATTACCACAAACACTGGTACGTAACCACACTCTTTTTTTTTTTTTTTTTTTAATTAAAAAAAAAACGAAATTCCATTTTGGGTATTAAATATTAATTTAATTAATTATTATTTTTAGTGAGATTGTAGAGGAGTATGACCGAGAAATGAGGAGTCTATGTGGGAGGCTGATGTGGCTTGGGTTAGGCGAATTGGGGATAACCCGGGATGACATGAAATGGGCCGGGCCGGATGGGGATTTCAAGACCAGTCCAGCAGCGACCCAGTTCAATTCCTACCCGGTCTGCCCGGATCCGGACCGAGCTATGGGACTCGGGCCCCACACCGACACCAGCCTCTTAACCATTGTGTACCAAAACAACACGAGGGGGTTACAAGTTTTGCGAGAAGGGAAGCGGTGGGTGACGGTGGAGCCAGTAGCCGGTGGACTAGTGGTTCAAGTAGGAGACTTGCTTCACATTCTGACAAACGGGTTGTACCCGAGTGCACTCCATCAAGCCGTGGTGAACCGGACCCGGAAACGCCTCTCGGTGGCTTACGTGTTTGGGCCACCCGAAAGCGCAGAAATTTCACCGCTTAAGAAGCTTTTGGGCCCAACTCAGCCGCCACTTTACCGCCCGGTAACTTGGACGGAGTACCTCGGTAAAAAAGCGGAGCATTTCAACAACGCACTGTCGACTGTTCGTGTTTGCGCTCCTATTACTGGACTGTTAGACGTCAACGATCACAGCCGGGTGAAAGTAGGCTAATCCCACCCTAAAACACAGTCAAATTTGAATAAATAAATAAATAAATAATAATAAAAAAAAAAAAAGACACAGCTCTAGACTTCTTCAATTTAAGCTATTTTGGCTGACTATATAAATATAATGTAATTTAAGCCACCTTGGAGTAATGGGTTTTATTTTATTTTATTTTATTTTGCATCTCATTTGTGTTTGTTTGGATTAGATAGGTGGGTGCGGAAAGAAAAAAAAATAATTATTATTATTTTTCCGGCTTAAAAAAGGAGCATAATTAAGTATTGATTGGTGATTAGGGTTGAAATAATTGGATCTCTTGAGATTATTTTTGTTCTCTCACTTCCAAAACCAAATCACACATTCCTTTCTTTCCCATCTTTAATATTCTTAATCATTGCCTTGAAAGGCCTTTTCAAAATCATTAACTCAATCATTAATTAACTACTTGATTTACGTCCATTAATTATATTTTGTTCTATCCCACTTCCCTCGTCCTGTTCTGCACTAGTTAAAAATCCTCGTAACACCTCTATTCACAGAATTTACAACCTAAACCCACAGTAGATATTGTCTGCTTTAACCCATTATGTATCGTTCCACTCTTCAATTGATGTGGGATCTCACAATCCACCCTCTTTGGTGCCCCAACATCCTCATTGGCACACCGCTTCGTATCTGACTCTGATACCATTTGTACCCGCCCAAACCCACTGCTATCAAATATTGTCCGTTTTAGTCCATTACGTATCGTCATCTGCCTATCAGTTTTAAAACGCGTCTATTAGGGAGAGGTTTCCACACTCTTATAAGGAATGTTTCGTTTCACTCCCCAACCGTTGTGGGTCTCACACTATTAAATTCACCTAATGTTGCTCGAACAAACCTTAAAACAAAGTTAAGAGCTAACTTGAATAGATTTTGATGCATCGTTCTAAACCAAATATTGACGCGAGATCTTTTTCTAGTGTTCCGAGTTAGCTTGAATGGATTTTGTTAGATGAGCATGTATGTTTCAACGAACATCTTACACTCGATCTCTCCTAAAGTTTAAGAAAAACTTAGACCTTACTCACCCATGTCCGATTAGAAGTATAGGCATATGTAATTCATTTGGACGGTGGAAATGGGTTTTATGGTATCAAAGACTGCAACCATGCACGTGCTTCTTTGCATTTTGGCTTTTGCTATTCGACAGTCACACAAACCTAAACCCGCCATCTCCTTGTCATTGGATGGGGCAGTTTTTACAGTTTTTCCTCCTAATTCTAACCCTAATTTTTCATGCCTACTTTAACCACCGATCTTGTAAACCCTAGTTAACTCGAGTTTGATGTAATTCTTATACTACGTAGCTTGAAATAGGTAAACCCAACATACCAAACTTTCAATTTAGGGTTTAGGATTTAGCCTCAACTTCTAAACCTAGTTTAGTAGACATGAGTCAAAGGTTCAAATCCCAAACCCGAGAAAAAAAATCTCGTGACCTCAAATACCATTTAGAGGTCTAGTCAGATACGACTTTGAAGTTCTATTTATTCCCCGCAATCTAAAATTATACAAATTTATTATTAATTTCCAACCTCATGATATACAAACCTTAAGATCGTTTGGACGAAGGTTTTGTTTGAGATAATGTCTAAAAATCAAAAAACGGCATCAAAATTTCATAATTATATTACCATTGTTTTTTCGAAAACATTTTTTTTTTTTTGTCACATATTCTAATGGAGATATACATTAATTTGGAGCAAGGTAGTACCTGTGGTAGTCCATTTCAATCACATCAAATTAATATTCTTGTAGCCTGCCCATGCCTTTTAACTCAAATAATGTCAAAATTATATTGTCATAACTTACATATATACATATATATATATATAATTTAATTTTTGACTTAGAGTTAGTGGGTATTCCAAAAAAAAAAAAAAAAAAAAAAAAAAAAAAAAACTAAGAATTTTCTTTTCAATGATCATGGTTGCTTGTGTGGAAAAATTTAAATTTTTTAATGGAGTCTAATCTTAATATATATATATATTAAAAGAGTAATGAATTACATAACCAAACATGCATGCCCTGTGTATGTCAACATTTGTCCCTTTTCATTGATTGATTGAAATAACATAATGGATCAAAATATTAGAAATTTCAAAATTGGAAATTTTGAGGTTGTCAATACCCCAATATTACGTGTCTTGAATGGATCCACTATGAACATAGTTTATCACGTTATATAGAAATTAATTAATTGTTTTTGATTGAACTGGTAAGTGGGTCGTGATTGTATTTGTTGATTATGATATGAATAGTAGTGGGGAATTTGTTGCCTTCCACAACAGTTATTTCAAATCTATAAAGGGTTTGAAACAATGGATGTAAGATAGTATAGGATATGATTTATGTGCATGAATTGTTTGAATAAAGATGTAAGTTTTGGATGATTATGATCATATATTATATGCTTCATGTGTGCATGTAACAAATATGGATTCATTTGGAAGTTAATATTTCTTTCAAAGTGGGAGACAAGTGAGAAAGAGAGAATAATATTCTCATAATTTCCCTAGATTTTTCATTCTATAAGTGCTAAAAAAATATTTTCCAACTAATTATGTTTTAACTTTTTTACAATTTTTTTTCTTTATTTTATATATATATAAGTCATAATTGGACTTGTGGGAGCCTCGTGAAAAAAGAATTTTTGAAATTCTTTGTCACAGTCGAGTCCCGACGAGGTATTAAATACCTGATTTTTCTTATTGAATCCAAACTTTCTAAATTTTATTGAGGATTGAATTTTAATACCGGGTGTAGAAGAGAAAAATATTTGAAAAAGTCTCATAAACTCGACAAAAACAAAAATGAAAAATGTTGAGATTGTTGCCTTGGTCCAAGGCCCTAGATTACTAGAAGGGCGTGGGTTCAAATCCTACTCTCAACATTATTTGTGTACTTTATGGACCTAGATCGTAAACTTGGTGATTTATGTTCTAGAGTTGGACTTTTATGTACTTGAGACAAGTTACGTTGGTGGGCATAATCATTATGAGCAAGTTTATCATTCATGAGTGGTTCGTCGACTAAGTCAAAAGTCCATTTTACCCATGCAATTATATTTTTCACCTTAAGGATTACTGCTTTTCTAATAAACAATTTGCTTATGATTCCATCATAAACTAAGTCTCTCTTAGACTAGAAGGTGGGGCTCCATTGTTCAAGTCCCAAAATTAATACTCGAGGAAATTACTCATCTAGTTATCCCCTATATGGAAATGACTTAATTCTACCTCGTAGGATTATGTCCCGCTCACTATTTGGTCTAGAGTTATTGAATTGGCTACAAATTTTATTCTCACTCATGCAAAACAAAGGACAAACTCTCACAAGCAAAAGTTCATAACTTACTAAAGGATTAAATAACTTTTTTTCCTATGGAGTCCAAATTTCTTGACTTTTATCGAGAGTCTTAAGGATTAAATTTGTCTGGAAGAGAAAAATACTTAAAAAAAAGGTTTCAAAAACTCAACAAAAATACAAAAGAAAAAGGTTGGGATGGCCGAGTTGGTTTAAGGCGCCAGATTAAGGTTCTGGTCCGAAAGGGCGTGGGTACTTCTAATATAACATTATCCACTTGGAGCATAAACGATATGAGCTGCATTTTTGTTTAAAAAAATTAATAACACAAACTTTAAAGCAAAAGGCAAGTTTCAAAGACAACAAAAGCAAAGTTAGATAAATATACAAAATTAAGAGTCCCGAAGAACAGAAGAAATAGATATCAATTATCATCAACTAGATACCCAAGCTAAAGAAATGGGTACTATCTCTTTTGAAAATTGAAGAACTTAATACAAATGGCAAATGAAAAAGCAAAGAAAACTCCAAACCCAATAATAACAGCAGCAACAACTCCAAGAAAATCATGCCTAAACCCAAAGAATTCTCTTATAAACTCCTCAACTGTCTCCCCTGTATCCATCTTCTCCTCCACATCTCCAAACTGTGAACCAATTAACCCATACAACGTCCATGACAAAGGACAAGTCCAATAAAACCATCTCCACCACACCGGAATCCTCTGCAATACACAATTTATAGACGTCATTTCGACCATAACTCGATAACCATTCCTTTATCAACTCTTCTTCGAAGAAAATACTTACAGTTCTAGGAATGATAAAGCCACAAAAGAGGTTCCACATCCCGTAAAATGCAGTCGAAATAATCATACCGATGTGGTAACTCGGCGTTGCAGCGATCGTCATCATGCCGTAGTAGGTGAAGTAGAGGAAAGTGAAGAACATGAAGAAGAAAAACCAAAGAACTTTGGTAAAACTCCATTCATATCCCATCATTGCATATACTATGATGCAATACATCAAAGATTGTGAGAAAATGTATGGCAGCTCAATTGTAACCTGAGCTAAGGCATATGGCAAGCCCGAATAGATTCCCGCTGCTCGTTCTCTATAGTATACTGTTCGCTCGATTGAAACGACAGGCTGTATGCCTCCAGCGTTTTGTATACCGAGGAAGAGCGATGCCGTATACATAGCACCGATTGAGTTAAACATATCGATGTATGTCGTTCTGGGATTGATCTCGAGTTAGTCCTTTATAATGATGGTAGAAAAAATGAAGCAAATTTTGAACATGTTGTATGTTACCTCTTGGAGCCAAGGTTCCAAAACATTGTCCCGAGTATCAACGATGCGCCGAGCGTGAACAGAAATTTGGTTGCAATGTACGACGGATTACGCCAATACGACAAATGTTGCTTCCATAAGCAAGCTAAGTATTGTTTGGAAAAAGGCTGAGAGTATTTGGTTTGAAAATGGATATCATTAGAAGCAGGGGGAGGCTCACTCAGTTCTTTGATTATTTCCTTGTTTCTCCTAAAAACATGAAAACATGAGATGATCCAAGTGTTTTTTTGACTAAAACTATGTTTATAATATTGTTACCAACCTATAAAGCTCAGATTTTTTGAATAGTTCTGCAAAATCGACCCCCGAAACCATTTCTTGTGTCGAGGAGGTCACTTCTAACATCCACGTTGCTGGATTTTGACCCTCGTTTATCTTACTCGTTCCCTCGATCCCCTAAACCGACACGAAAACTTTATACATATTGTAACTGATATATACCAATGGATTGTTTCGTAGGAACGTCTTTTTACCTCGAAATACTTGATCAAATGGAAAGAACGATGTCCAAGAGGTCCAACATATATCGTCTCACCTCGCTTCAACAGCAATAGCTGCAGCCTCATATAAATTGGTCAGCTCAAATCAGATAAGGTTTTAGCAAAGTTTAAGGTTTTACCTCATCAAAAGCTTCAAATATATCGATGCTCGGTTGATGGATTGTACACACAACTGTTCGTCCTGTATCGACCGTGTTTCTTACTGCCCGCATTACGATTGCAGCAGCTCTTGCATCTAGTCCTGAAGTTGGTTCATCAAGAAAAATTATGGATGGGTTCGCCACCAGCTCTACGGCTATTGTCAACCGTTTGCGCTGCTCGGTCGAGAGACCGTTTACTCCAGGCAACCCAACTATTGCTTGCCTTAATGTGTCAAGTTCAACCAGCTCCAAGATTTCTTCCACAAACATCTACAATAGATTAGAACAACTAAGCATACTCATTCGTTCAATGATGTCTGTAAAAAGCTCAAAATCCTAGAGGAATTCAGTTAATATAGCAACCTTTCTTGCTTCTTTGCTGATATCAGAGCCGAGACGTAGCCATGCCGAGTAGAGTAGAGACTCGAAAACAGTAACATGAGGAGAATGGATATCATTTTGTTCACAATAACCCGAAATTCGAGTAAACGTTTCTTGCTTTTTCATGTAGCCAGAAACTTTGATGCTTCCCTCAATATATCCACCGGTTTTCCTCCCGGATAGCACGTCCAACAGAGTCGTTTTCCCCGCTCCGCTCACGCCCATCAAAGCAGTTAGTACACCAGGCTTAAAAGCACCACTCACACCTTTCAAAAGCACTAGTTTATCCTCCATGACACCCTGACTCTTCATTTCCTGCATGTTCATCTTCACAATTAGCTCTGAAGTAATCATAACTCGAAGCCTTAACGAGTAGTTTTACGATTAATCACCTCCGGCATATCAACCGAGTATACGATCTCATCGAAAGTGAGCACATACTGATTAAATGGAACAACTTTTTTCCTCTTATTACAAGTGGCCTTGTCAGTTGCTTCATTCCATGCTTGGGAGGCAACTCTCATGCTTTCACTTCCATTAGCTGTTTGTAAAAAACAATTGAGTGAGTGCCTTTTATGAAGAGAAGATTTCACTTCCATTAGCTGTTTGTAAAAAACAATTGAGTGAGTGCCTTTTATGAAGAGAAGATCACACTAAAGGAAAGGAACGGTGTAATGACACAAGCCTACCGCTAGCAGATATTGTCCTCTTTGGGTTTTCCCTTTCGGGCTTTCCTTCAAGGTTTTTAAAAAGCGTCTGCTAGGGAGAGGTTTCTACGCCCTTATAAAGGGTGTTTCGTTCTCCTCCCCAACCGACGTGGGATCTCACAATCCACCCCCCCCCCCTTCGGGGCCCAACGTCCTCACTAGCACTTGTTCCTTTCTCCAATCAATGTGAGACCCCCGTCAAATCCACCCCCCTTCGGGGCCCAGCGTCCTTACTGGCACACTGACTCATGTTTACCCCCTTCGAGGCTTAACCTCCTCGCTGGCATATTGTCCTCTTTGGGCTTTCCCTCAAGGTTTTTAAAATGTGTCTGCTAGGGAGAGGTTTCCAAACCCTTATAAAGGGTGTTTCGTTCTCCTCCCCAACTGACGTGGGATCTCACAAACTAAAATCATGTTTTCGAGCCATAAACCTGCAAGATTTTCACAAGATGGGGTGTTTCTGATCTCGAACTCCTCCTCGTTGCTCTCTGAGACTTGCGGTTTCGCAGCCCGAGGCATGATCAATGCTGCATAAGAAATGCGAAGCATAAACAATTTGTTCTTTTAAGTTCTAAATTGAAGCAAAGAATGACAAATGACTCACGGTTCAGATAAGTGAGGGCTAAGACATATAAAAAGTTGAATACAAGAATAAATCCAATCAGTGCAGCCACTCCAATCCAATACCAATCAGCATATGGGAAGAATCCATGAAGCTTCAAGATCAAAACCCCTAGAGTTTCCCCACTAAAAGGGACAACCTTGGCAAGAAAGTAAAGATTCTGACATAAACATTTGTAGATTCAGACAAAACGCGAACATTTTTAAGGTTGCTGAGTTTCTAGAAAGTACTTGATCCCAATTTTTTCCACGGAATTCGTTCACTGCCAATGCGTTCTGCCCGTACATCATCGGTGATATCCAGTAAGCCCATTTCCACCACTTTTTCATTGCATCTGTGGATATCAAAAGGAATTGTTACATATATTTTTACTGAAGAATGTCAAGCAAAAGTTAATACATGGCTATCAGTTATTGCATACGTCTTGAGAGAATAAAGCCATCGTTTCCATAGAGTATCAATAGAACAAATGAACCAAACGTGTTTGAAACTACCAAGCTTCGAGCAACGGCCGCAATCAATCGAAACAATGCAGAAGCCACTTGGTTAGCAAGAACAAGAGCAAGGTACTGTTTAAAAAACCTGCAAACAGTTATAATGGCATCAAACATGATCTGTGATGGAACATAGTGCAGCAAGGAGATGTTAAGAACTAATATCAACCTTTTAACACTTGGATCATAGCCAGTAACATAATAAGAGGTAAAAACCCAAAGTGCAACCTCTACGAAAGAGACAGCGATTTTAAGGATGGTAGCTGGAAGAGCATATGCCCATGCTGGGAAGAAAAGGAGGTCCCTTTGCTTGTAAAAAACAGGAAGCTTAGCAATTGTTAATGGAAGCTCGGACATCCCATTGAACATACAAACAACGAGTGCATTAAACAAAGCGCCCATGTAAATTTGTCCATCGTTTATCGAGTCGTGGGGCATCTCGGTTCGAAAGAAAAGCGACATCGAAATGACTGAGATTAGAAAAATCTAGTAGAAGAAAGATGAGGAGAAGTCAGATATCAGATAGATTTTGATAGGCCAAATAAAGACAGCTTCGTTTACCGACTTGCATGAGTTTGAAGATGTGCACGAACACGTTACGCTTCATCAGCAAGACTTCTCTATCGAAACAGGCCTTCCAAATTTGCTTATATCCAATGCCATACTTTTTTGTTACCAAAACAGCAGGGTGGCACTTGCTTTTCTCAAAGGGGACTGATAATTCCTCTCCTAGTTTCCTTCCAACATTGAAGGATTTGAATGCTTCTGCGAACTGTGCCACTGTGACATATGTGTAAGGCTTGTCCTTCTCTGCCCAATATTGCTGCTGATCTTTCCTTGAAGTCACCTGCACCAAATTCACTCACTCTTGAGCCATCTTTCCCATTTACAATGTAATAAAAGAACTCTACACTTTATAGGTACATACTTCTTGCAAATAGTCTGCCACTCCTTTCCTTTCAGGACATTTGAAGCCCATGAACTCAAAGAACTCAAGGACTTGCTGGCAGGGACCTTGGTACACTATTTGGCCTTCAGACAGGAGAATGATATCATCAAACAGTTCAAAAGTTTCTGGTGCGGGCTGGAGAAGGGAAATGATAGCAGTTCCATTGAGAATATGAACGTATTGCTTCATTGAGTTCACAACTTGAAAGGTTGTTGAACTGTCTAGGCCTGTAGATATGTCATCCATGAAGAGTACCTTTGTAGACCCACAAATTATCTCACCTGAAAACACGTAGGGAACTGAATCATTTCAAGCTCCTTGGTTAACTTTCTAGCTTCTTGTTTAGTGATTTTGATGGGTTACCTGTGGTGAGACGCTTCTTCTGTCCTCCTGAAATGCCTTTGATCATTTCATCTCCAACTCTGGTGTCTGCACAGAAGTCTAATCCTAGCACCTGTGTTGTTGGAGGAAGAAAGAAATTTGATTAAAGAGAGTCTATGTGAGATCTCACATCGGTCGAGGAGAATGAAGAATTCTTTATAAGGGTGTGGAAATCTCTCCCTAGTAGACGCGTTTTAAAAACCTTGAGGGGAAGCTCGAAAGGGAAAGCCCAAAGAGAACAATATCTGCTAGCGGTGGGTTTGGGCCGTCAAATGGTATCAAAGCTAGACACAAGGAGATGTGCTAGCGAAGAGGCTGGCCCGAAGGGGGGTGGACATGAGGTGGTGTGCCAGAAAGGACGTTGGGCCCCAAAGGGGGTGGACTGGGGGGTCCCACATCGATTGGAGAAGGGAACGAGTGTCAGTGAGGATGCTGGGCCCCGAAGGGGGTGGATTGTGAGATCCCACGTCAATCGAGGAGGAGAACGAAGTATTCTTTATAAGGGTGTGGAAACTCTCCCTAGTAGACGAGTTTTAAAAACCTTGAGGGAGAAGCCCGAAAGAGAAAGCCCAAAGAGGACAATATCTGCTAGTGGTGGGCTTGGGCCGTTACAAATGGTATCAGAGCCAGACACCAGGCGATGTACCAGCGAGGAGGCCGAGCCCCGAAGGGGGGTGGACACGAGGCAGTGTGCCAGCAAGGGTGCTGGGCCCCAAAGGGGGGTGGATTGGGAGGTTCCACATCCATTGGAGAAGGGAACGAGTGCCAGCGAGGATGCTGGGCCCCGAAGGGAGGTGGATTGTGAGATCCCACATCAATTGGGGAGGAGAACGAAACAAGGGTGTGAAAACCTCTCCTTAGTAGATGCGTTTTAAAAACCTTGAGAGGAAGCCCAAAAAAGACAATATCTGTTAGCGGTTATAAAATATATTTTTTACTTTCAGTAATATTTATGTTCGATAACAATACCTTCAGAACATAATCTGTGATCACGCTTCTCTTTTGGCCTTCTAGTGATGCTGCCTGCAACATTTACAAAAGAATTGTATGAAAAAATTTGTGCTTTTTCATCTCTGTGTGGCTAAGAAAGTTATTTAGAGGCCTCTAAGTCACACCTTCATGAACACATCAATATCTGGGTCAGGCAAAATGTTTGCTTCTTTCTCTCTTCTTGTCAACTCTGCCATTAACTCTGCAAAAACCTACACTTATTGGTCATATCTTTCGTTATTGTTAGTTGTCATAACTACAACACTTTTCTACAAAGCTTCTAAGGAACAAAATGGCAATTTCTCAGAGAAATCTTGCAGGGAGAGAGGGAGAGAGAGACCGTGACGAAACCCGACCCCTTGATATCTTGCAGAAAAGGCCAAGATTTCTCTTACAGTCATTTCGGGAATATGGACATCATTTTGGCTCACATAGGCAGAAGTTCTCTGCGGAACAAACTCATTAAAGCTGTAGCCATTATAAGTCACCTTCCCAGAGACCTATTAGAAGAAAAACTCAGTGGTTTCCCATATGAATTTAAGTCTAAGAATCTGATTTTTAAAACTTGAACTCAAACCTACCTTGAAATCAGAAGCAAGCCTCCCTGCTAGAGCCATCAAAAGCGTCGTTTTTCCCGAACCTGGAAGGCCTAAAAGCAGTGTCATCCTGCAAAATTTTACCCCCAAAAGGCTTTTAAGTTCATACCAAATAACAATCTGGAGAGCAGCCATTATTAGAAAGTCATCTCTTCTTACTTGCTTGGCTTAATGATTCCACTAACATCATGAAGAATTGTCAGCTGTTTCTTTTTACTCGACACTATGTGAAGATTTGCCAAAAAACCCTTCAAGGAAAAAGTTGCAGGTGATGTTTAGAAAAGATTTTGTTGTGGATGTTCTATACATATGATAAGCTGGTTGTTCTTACCTCCACTAAGTTGACAAAAAAGTTGAGGAGAGTAGGCAAAGCTCTGTCTCCAATATAAGCTTCAGCTTCAACTCTAAGATGCTCAAATCTTACTTCAATGGTGGGAATATCAATTCCAACTCTAAGTATTAGCCACCATAACAACCAATGATATCAGTTTTAGTTGAACATTAGCAGAAACTGCAACAAATGATATCAGTAGGAACTTTTCATTCATATTCGTACCGATCAAGGCGTTTCTTCAGCTTCAGTAGGAGTCTTTCATTGTCTAATTCAGTATCACTCATCAGGTTCTTCATCAATCTCTTCCTTTCTTGAAGGCCAAGTTTTTCAACTTCAACTTCATTGGCCTCACCACGAGATGATGTCAAGAAACCTTTTCTTAAGCGTTTGTAAGTGGGAAGTCTCTGCAGTGCTGCCCATTTCAGTGCTTTTTCATCATCTTCCCCATGTGTTGATCTTGAGAATGCCTCCATGACTCTCCTTCCACTATTTCATTGATGGATTAAAGCTGAAGATAACTCAAAAACTATAAAACGGGCAAAAAGAAACAGGAAAAGGTGTAGCAGATTCAATACAGGCTATTCATTTTCCTTCAGCACTTTTTTACTATATCATAAATTTTCACCATTGGAATTAATGTTCTTTAATGCAAACTAAAAAGGGAAACCTAAATATATAGCTTCCTTATATGTATATGTATATGTATATGTATATGTCCTTACTTGGACTTCTCTATTGTTGCATCAAACTGCAATAAATTATTTAGTTTGGCTACCACATTTTGACTAACCTTTTCCCAATTGTTGGATGCTTGTTATTTTTACATCTTTCTATTACCATACATGTAAGATTCCACGTCGGTTTGGGAGGAGAACGAAGCATTTTTTATATGGGTGTGGAAACCTCTCCCTAGCAAACGTGTTTTAAAAAACTTGAGGTCAGAGCCAGACATTGGGCGATGTGTCATTGAGGTTGAGCCTCGAAGGGAGGTGGACACGAGGCGGTGTGCCAGCAAGGACGCTGAGCCTCGAAGGGGGTGGATTAAGGGGTCCCACATCGATTGGAGAAGGGAACGAGTGTCGGCGAGGACATTGGGCCTCGAAGGGGAGTGGATTGTGAGATCTCACATCGATTGGGGATAAGTCTGTGGAAACCTCTCCCTAGCAGACGCATTTTAAAAACTTTGAGGGGAAGCCTGAAAGAGAAAGCCCAAAGAGGGCAATATCTGCTAGCGGTGGGCTTGGGCCGTTACAATCAACTATCGACTATAAAACACAATCAATTATAATGTAAAACACAATGAATAATTTATCAGTAAAACCTGCTAAAAAAAACGGGTCTCTCCATAATTTTTCAACGGCGCAATAGGTATACATTTTGTTTCATCTAAAAGGTCTCATAGCAATAAAGATATTCCGTCATTCATAAAGACATGAACATAGTATCTACTCGACATTAATTTACCTAGGCACATAGATGCACTTAATCTTTGCCTAACTGAATGCTAATTATGGTGGAGATTAAAAGAAGTGTCTGAGTTGTCTTACACCATTTCATAATTTGATATTGTGGAAGTTGAAGAGGTGTTTGAGCAATGGTCATAAACAGCTCAAGCCCACCATTAGCAGATATTGTCCGTTTTGGTCCGTTACATATTGCCGTCAGCCTCACGGTTTTTAACCGCGTCTGTTAGGTAGAGGTTCACACTCTTATAAGAAATGCTTTATTCTCCTCTCCCATTGACATGGGATCTCACAATCCACCCTTCGTAGGGTCCCAATGTCCTCACTGGCACATCGCTCTACGTCTAGCTCTGATAACATTTGTAACAACTCAAGTCCACTATTAGCAGATATTGTTTGCTTTGGCCCATTATGGATCGCCGTCAGTCTCACAGTTTTAAAACACGTCTATTAGGAAGAGGTTTCCACACCCTTATAAGCAATGTTTCATTCTCCTCTCCAGCCGACATGGGATCTCACACATACAGGAGCTGTTGGGGGAGAAGAGATGGATGGCAAGCCAATGGGGTGACTACAACTAATGATATGGCAGACAAATAGATATCTAACATTCAAAAAACTTAATTTGATGAGATTATTGCTTAGAAAGTTAATATCTTAATGGGTTTTGATAGATCTACATTAAGCCCTTCTATGAGTAAGAGTAGGAAAGAAAGGTCCAGTAGAGTTTTATGGGCATTTAAGGGTGTTCAACTTTTATGGACATTAATATTCACTATTCATAGATCAACTAGCCAATATCCAAATAAATGAACACCAAACAAAGCCAGTTGAAGGTCTCTGTTTGGCTCGTTTTAATTTGATACCAACCAAGTTAAATGCACATTAAAATAAGGGCCATCCTTAGCCCATACCATAAAGAATCATATTGGCTCAAGGTTCATGACCCAAATGCCTTTAATTCAAGCCTTTCAAAATATAAAGCCAGAAACTATGTATCTAAGTGTCCTCGTCCACCTAACTACAGACTCAACAGGGTATAATAAAAGGACTAATATTCGAATTTCGTAACAGCCTAAGCCCACTGTTAGTAGATATTGTCCGCTTTGACCCGTTACGTATCATCGTCAGCCTCACGATTTTAAAACACGTCTACTAGGGAGAGGTTTCCTTACAAGGGTAAGGAATGTGATCTCACAAATTCACATCCCAACGTCTTATGTTTTAAAGATATTGGGGTGTGATAGGAACAACGAACCTCCACAATACTCAAAATCAAAAGTGGACAATATGAAACACTTGCAAAACACACTTAGAAAATACTTTAATCACAATACTTTTCAACTTCCTAAATAAAATGTACATTTGATGGTTATTTAAAGAAACAAAAGCACAAACAATTCGTTTCCAAGAAATACTCCACGATTAATAACTTCTCAATGCATGACTTTTGACTCATAATCACAAAGCATAAGTCATTACTTCATTGCTTTGATTAAAAATATTTATAACTTTTGATGCATCAGAACAACTTTGATGTCAATATGCTTCGTAAATTATTAGGTGTCGTTCAACATGTTCATGTTTGGTATTACCTTTTTCAGCAGAAGCAAGGTCACCTTCATAATGACTTGGAAGGCGACCTTTGATACATTTTGGAAGCTCTTGGAAGAAGCCTAACCCGCCCGACGATGAGAGCCCGACTGAGTTTCTCATAGTTCAATTGCTGCTGAACGTAGACGATGACGGCAAGGATGAACGCAATCAAAGGAATGGCAATATCCCCAAATGTAGAGTAGAAATCCATGCTTGGATTCACAAAGTCATAGATGTGTGGGAGAAGTCTGGCCAATGTGATTCCAATGAAATAGAACTTCCTAAGAGGTTTGCTATCAATTTGCCATAACAAGTTGCCAATGACTTGAGGAAGTAAGTACAAATCTTGAACAAGTCCTACATACTCTTGTAGGTCTTTTTCCCATCCCTGCACCATGTGGGAACCTGAAGTTCTGCTAGGAATCATGGAACTCTTTACTCGGATTTCGGCTGTCCTTGAAGTATGAACAATGGGAACAGCAACGTACCCGACGAGATGTATCAAGAAGGTTGCAATAAGCACCGACTTATCACTCGGGACACGATGCAGTTCAAGAGGAGCTTGTCGCAGTAACTTGATCCTAGATTTCGAAACCTTCTGGCAAAGCCTCAAAGTCAATAGAAGTGAGATCACAACTTGAAGCTTTACAATGAACCAAAGGTTATTTCCGAGATCATACGACTCGTTGTAAGATATGGAACCTCGTTGAATGAAGTGAGCTTCAGCACGAGTGACCAGTGGAAGAGTATAACCAAGGGACTGAACTCCCAAAGTAACAAGAGATATGTATGGAACAGACTCCCTCTTATCATTCATATAAAATATTTGGCTCAAGATGCAAGCATTAGCCACGGAAAGTGTCAATATCTGGAGTATAACCTCGACGATCTTACGAGAAAGAATATACTGTCGCTGCCTCCTATACATGATCGGCATCGTTTCGAGTTTTATTGGGCTGAAATAGAAAGGGTCATCTTCTGTCCGTTGGCTAGAAATGGAAATCACTGCAGATGGATTGATAAACCATGGAGCTGTAGTAAAAGGATAAGACACAATCACTTCAATGAGACAATCCAAGCCATCTTCAAGATCCATGGTCTCGTGTAAAACTCTCCAGGACGGGGACGAACGAATGTCTCTACAGCCAATTAGATACATTTTTCTAACGAGCGGATCGAAAATGCCCTCCACGGAAAGTGCAGAAAAGTTGCTACTTGTCTGTTCAGAGAGTGCCAGTAGTGCAGACACATTAACAAGCAGCTTCTTTTCAGTGACTTCAGGCTTAACATGATATGAAGCTTCCGTGTCCGAGTTAGCTCCGTTTAACCTTGACAAGTCCCATACGAAAAACGAACCAACAGAGATAATTTCCATTTGAACATGAAATCCGGAAGCTTGAGAACCAAGTGCAGGGACATTAAGGGTGAGATCTTCTAAGAGAAGAGACTCACTGAGCTCATATGTTTCTTTGTCTTCCCATTTGAGATAATGCAGCAATGACTTCTTCACGACGGTTCGAAAGCCGAAAGGCTCATATTTCTCAAGCACAGCACGAGCTGAAGCAATTTTTGTATAGCTATAAGATGGTTGGGAGTTCCTAAACTGACTCCACAGCTCTGTAGGTCTTAATAACTTTTCAAATGACAAAGGGGAGTATAATGGCTTATCATCGACGCTTGAAATCGAACCGACAAGAATCCTTCGTTGTTCGAGTGTAAACAAGATAGGTATATACAGGCAGATCCTCGAGTCACATGAAATCTTCTCAGCATCAACAAGTCCAACACAACCAACCATACAAAGCTGCCCACTTGAAGAGTTCCAAATTCCCTCAGAGACCATAGTCATATTATTAAGTGCAGATCTTCTCCAAGCAGCGTGGCGATTCTCCGACAGCACAACAGCCCGAAAGACAGCCGAAACACTAACAGAAAAGCCATTTTTGTTTGAACCAAGCGTCTTACACTTCACATCTTGCATATAAAGTCCCACATCGTTAAAACTTTCATCTGTACTATTGATCACTGATATAAACGGACCAAGTTTCCTACAAAACTCATCTGTAGAGTTGCATCTCCAATTTGGGAGGATTGTGAAAGCTTGATCCCTCGTTATTTCTTGTAAAACCTCACAAAAATAAGAACCTCTATACATACTAATGTTTTTCTTTATTAACTTATCATTGTAAGAGTATGAACCACATGCTTTGTCCACAACTTTCTCAGATGCAAAATCCTAGTTCATATCTCCAAGTTGAGACAAAATGTGAATGTCGTCGAAGTACTTATCGTTCGACTTCGTGTTTAAACTTCTCATTTCCCCTTGGATTACCCGACTTGTCAGCGAATTCTTCATCGGATAGCGCAAAACAAATAGAATTTTATCATCTTGGAGAAGTGGCAGCTGGTGACGATTCACATTCAAATCTTTCGCCCAACGCCATGGATCACCCGATTCCTGATCACGGGCAGGTAACGTTCCACGACCCAACAAACACAGCACTCTTTCCCCACCATTCTTGTCGGATTCAGTATAGATTCCTTGAAAGGAAAGGGTCAGCTCAGAACGGCCAGGCCAAAACTGAAAGTTAGGATGTTGAGAGGAACAGTATTCAAAAGAAGTATCCGTAGTAATGCCCATTGACACTAACCCACTTAAACTAACAGCCCTTTTAGTTTGATGAACAAGATCAATGTCAGTGACCCAAAACGAAATCAATTTCAAAGGGATAAAATTAGGGTTACTACAGAACCTGTTTACAGAAAACACACGACACCCATTCTTAAAAGGCAATAAAGGATACTTTCCCCCATCTTGCCACCAATCCCCATTCACAAATTGAAGCTGTTCCTTCATTCTAGTAAACCTTAAAGTATCCGAGCTTAATTCAGCTGCAGAAGACAGAACAGATTTGCAATGTTTCTCCACCTCATCATGTCTTTCATGATTACAAGCTGGGGTCTCTTTAACCCCCAAGTCTAGCGAGAGAGCCAACCCAGAAAGAAAGAAAAACAGAGTGGCAAGATTTTTCATGGCATTAAACGCTAGTTTTCCAGTGTTCATCAGTTATAGAAAAGAAAAGCTTGATGATTCTTTACCAGATTCTCAGCTAGAAGCTCGCAAATGTTGCACCCATCAAGAAGATTGAGCTGAAGGAACATTAACCTCAGAGTCTGTGGTGATGCCCTGTCTGTGTCTACAAAGGAATGCTTAATGTTCTGTACTGAAAAATATGAAAAATCATGGAGCAAGCAATGATCAAGTGTGTAGGAAGAGAAAAGAGATGGGGTTGACTAAAATTTGGATGGTGGCGTTGAAGTCTACTCCCAATTTTCTAGTCGCTCTGACTGGGGTTGTTGTTCTTAACTACTGTGCTCTCCTTACAGAACGTGCAGTGCAAGAAAAGACTTCAAAATTTTTAAAAATTATAAATTTATTCCTTCAATTATAACTTTTTTTTGTTATTTACCGTACATAAAATTAAAATTTTCTAATTTAAATTAATATCCCACGTATTCAATTAATTTTAAAATTATTTAAATTTATCAAAGTTTAAAATTTTATTAAATATTTTTAAAAGCTCTAAAAAAGAAAAAAAAAACTCAAAATTTAGAGAATAAATTGATAATTTAGCGTAAATTTTAAGTTATGGATGAATTATAAGTTACCTGAAAAAGATCTTTAAACATTAAAAAAATATTTGGATAAATTTTTAAATTTTTAATTTTGTATCTAATAAATCTCTAAACATCTTTTAAAAAAAATTTAATTTTTAATTTATTGTGTCTAATATATCTACCATCGTATTCAATTTTTTCAAAACTATTCGATTAGATTATATATTATGTAATAATAACTTTTAATTTTTTTTTTGTAGTGGATGAATTTAGACCTTTTTTTAAGTTTATTGGACTAAATACATACAAACACAAAAGTATTTTTAGATTTTTTTTTTTAATATAAAGTTATTATTATTTTGGGTGATGTATTTGGGGTAATCTCGGTATTTTTGCTAATATAGGGACAGTTGACCTTTTTGATCGCCGGTTGACGCGCCGTCCGACCGGTAGTGTTTTTGTTTGAATAATTTTGAATAACATGAGTTCAACCCATTTAAAATAACATATTCAACATATACTTTGAATTTCTTTTTATTCTATCTCCCATGTCTCCCATTTTTAGTCTATGTAATTACAATAAATCTTAAAATCTTAAAATTAGTCTCTACTGTTCGTTTGAAGTATGAGTGATTATCGATCCGTCATAATTGATTTTGGACTCAAACGGACGTCCATCACCAAGTTGGTTTTTTTTTGTTTGGTTAATTTGATTAGCTATTAGTCGAGCGAAACAAATATCATCATCATAGATGTAGAAGATTTGTCCATATTTTAAATATCATCCTATGATCCTAACGAAAATATTATTCTAATTTTTAAAAAATAAAAAATGATTGATTTTATGAAGTTTGTTAAATATAAAGTATTTTTATTAGGTAATTTGACGAGTATTGACATGAATGCTTCAATGTGCTAATGTAGAAGGGTTACCTTAACAAAGTTCCATGGCAGCACCACGCATAGTCATTTCAGCCATCAGAGTGAAACTGAATTGGTTTCCTCAAGTTCGGCATGGCACGTAAGTCGAGTACACTTTCCGAGCAATCAGGAAGTGCTCATTCGCTGTTCGAACGTCGTTGCCATGGACGATGAAGATTATATAGGAATCCCCAAAGTACTCTCATCATCCTAAACAGAGAAGAATATAGTACCCGACGACGCTTTTATCGTCGTTTTCAAATACACGTGTCGCTGCAAGTTCTCCAAGCTCAACGTTTCTGTGAATTCTGCAAGCATTTAGCAAGGCTCCCCATATGGCTGCATCTGGCTTAATTGGCATGTCTTTGTATGAAATCATAAGCATCGTCCAGCCAACCAACACGGCTGAGTAGATCAACCACACAAGCATAATGCTTCAGATAAGGAGTTCGATTAAACTTGGTTTTCATTACATTGAAATACTCCAAACCTTCCAATACCATACCTGACCTGCTGCAAGCACATAATAGTGAAATAAAGGTAATCTCGTCTGGATTTTGTTCTGATTCAAGCATCTTTTCGAATAGCTCAATAGCAAGCATGTCATGTCCCTACTCGGGGTAACCTGTAAGGAGTATATTCCACGCCGTCGCGTCTTTCTTTTGAGTGTTAAATTGGTTTAGTGTAGGGACCTGCCTTCTACATCTTACATACATGTGCATGAATCTCTTTTCCACACATTAGAGCTCCTATTCTAGCACATGTTGATAGGGCGATAATCAGAGTTACAGAATTTGGTTTTGTTGATTCCTTCATCTGATAGAAGAAAAACAGTGCCTCGAAACTTCTATTGTTAATCCGTAGCCCAAGGATGAGTGTGTTAGATGAACATGACTCTCCACAATGGTATGATATTGTCCACTTTGAGCATAAGATCTCATTGCTTTGCTTTGGGTTTCCTCAAAAGGCCTCACCCCAATGGAGATAGTATTCCTTGATTATAAACTCACGATCATTCCCTAAATTAGTCGATGTGGGACTTTCATCATCCAATAGAGTAAAGTCTAAGATACGACATCTTTTCCCGAGATATTGTGAAATACTTCTAAGGCCTTGTCGACACGTTTACACTTGGAGCACATATCAATGAGAGAGCTTGAGACTATGACATGTGATATGAGGCCAGTCTTAATGGCAATCTCATGTAGCCTAATACCCAAATCCAAATGGCCTAAACAAGCACAAGCAGATAATACATCAACTAAAGTAATCTCATCTCGCAAAACATCCTCTAACTCCATTATTTTATAAGTTACCACAGCCTTATAAGGCAGCTTGTGATTGTCATAGCTTGCTATCATCGTCGTCCACGATACGACGTCTTTCAACTCCATTCGGGAAAAGACTTTCTCTGCTTCCTCCAAATGCCCAAGACCTGTATACATATGAATCAAAGAATTATTCACCCAAACTCCGACCTAACTACATATCCATGAATTTCTCTCCCTAACTTCTCATCGCCAAGAAGCTCACACGCAGATGCTACACTAGTCATAGTCATCAAATCCGGGTCAACCGAAAGCTCACGCATCATGAAAAACAACCTCAATCCTTCCAATACCTCGCCATTTTCGAAGTACCCCGAAATCATCGCATTCCACGAAATACGATCTCTCTTCGGCATTTTATCAAACAGTTTCCTTGCATTACTAAAGTAGCCACATTTCATGTACATAGAGATTAAAGCATTACTCACATCCACATCCGACTCAAATCCAAATCCAATGACATGCGCATGAATCGCTTTACCTCTAGCTATATCAGAAACGCAACCACAAGTTCTCAAAACAGAGGGAAAAGTATATACATCAGGCCTAATTTCAGCCCACAACATTTCTATGGTACAAATTCAAAGCCTCATCGAAACACCCCGCTTTAGCATACCCACCCACTAACACATTCCAAGAAAACACATCCCTCTCAGACATTTTATCAAACACATACCAGGCATCACTTAAATTACCAAACCTGACGAACATACTCAACAAAACATTACCAAGCCGAATGCCCAATCGAGATTTCAAACTCGAAACAAGCTCGTAAACTCGATACCCTTCACCGGACGCCCTTCTCCATTCGCAAAGCCTCAACAAAGCAATGTAAGCTTTCTCTTCCACTTCAATCCGGAGCTCTAGCATCGATTCCAAGCGTTTCATCGCTTGTTCTAGGTTCCCCTGAAGGCATAGCTTTATCAATTCAAAGTTCTTGGTTTGATTAATGGTCGAACTACCGCGGCGCAAAGTAAAGATAGTTTATTTTCAAAGTAGATAATACCATCTTATTCATTTGGAGTCGTGATTCCTAACCAATTATGTAATAAATATATTTATATTAAATATTTTGTAATTATTTTGAACGAGCTTGATTTTAACGGATATATAGGTTTCCTGCTCATTTGAAGTCAGAGTTCTCAAAAAAAAAAAAAAAAAACCAAATTTGAGGATTTTGGACCCATTTTTTAATTTAGATTTTGAGAATGTATTAATAATACAACAATTTATTTAAATAAAGTGCAATTAATTATTGGTATTATATAAAAGTAAGTAATTTTCTATAAATAAAATAATAATAATAATAATAATG